CAAGAATATACAACAGAGAAAAGATAGTCTCTTCAGCAACTGATGTTAGGAAAGTTGGTCATCCACATATAAATCAATGAAGTTAGAACACTCTATCACACCATGCACAAAAATAAACTCAAAATGGTATAGACTTAAATATAAGACATGACACAATTAAATTCCTAGAAGAGAACATGGGCAAAACATTCTCTGACATAAATCATACCAATGTTCTTAGATCAGTCTCCCAAGCTAATAGAAATAAAAGCAAAGTAAACAAATGGGACCTAATCAAACTTATAACCTTTTGCACAGCAAAAGGAAACCATAAACAAAACAGAAACACAATCTTCGAACTGAGATAAAATATTTGCAAACAATGCAACCAACAAGGGCTTAATTTCCAAAATACACAAACATCTCATATAACTCAATAACAGAAAAACAAACAACTCAACCAGAAAATGGGCAGGGAACTTCCCTGGTGGTCCAGTGGTTAAGACTCCATGCTTCCTTTTCAGGGGCATGGGTTCAGTCCCTGATCAGGGAGGATCACACATGTCCCACACCACCAACCCCACCTCGCCAAAAAAAAAGAAAATGGGCAGAAGATCTAAACAGACATTTCTCCAAAGAAGACATATAGATGGCCAACAAGCATATGAAAAGATGCTCAGCATCACTCATGATCAGAGAAATGCAAATCAAAACTACAATGAGGTATCACTTCACACAGGTCAGAACGGCCATCATCAAAAAGTCTATAAATAGGGACTTCCCTGGAGTCCAATGATTAAGACCCTGAGCTTCCAATGCAGGGGGCACTGATTCAATCCCTGTCAGGGTCACTAAGATCTGGCATGCCATGCAGCATAGTCAAAAAACAGTCTGCAAACAACAAATGCTATAGAGGTTGTGGAGACAGGGAACCCTCCCACACTGTTTGTGGGAATACAAATTGATACAACCACTATGGAGAACAGTATGGAGGTTCCTTAAAAAATTAAAAGTAGAACTACCCAATTATCCTGCCATCTCACTCCTGGGCATATATCCAGAGAAAACTATAATTCAAAAAGATACATGCACCTCAATGTTCACAGCAGCACTATTTACAATAACCAAGACAATGGAAACAACTTCAAAATGTTCATTGACTTAGCACCTACCAATATTACCAAAGTTTCCCAAAGTAGAAAAATGAGTCAGAGGTAACCATTTACTGAGTTGCTACTATGTCCCAAAGCCCAGTCTCATTCCTGCCTCCTTAGCTGAGATTAGATAAGAGGTCAAGGGACCATCAACATATACAGGATGAAAAGAAACAACAGGTAAGAATAAAACCAAAAGGAAGCATGTCACACAGGCCAAAGGTGGGAATGACAAACATATCAAAAGTCACAAACCAGTCAAATAAAATGAAGAAAAGTGTTCACTGGATTGGACACTACAGAGGCCAGAGTTAGCTCAGCCTAGGAAACACTACCACTAGTGAGCTCTCTTTGATCTCACTAATTCCTTCATCAGCCTGTTCTACTATTGGAAAGTTTTGATTGTTACAAAGTTTTTTTTCCCCCTCAAGGAAAGAAAAGCAGAGGAAAAGCACAGTATGAGGACTTCCCTGGGGGTCTAATGGTTAAGACTCTGAGCTCCCAATGCAGGGCGCACAGGTTCGATCCCTGGTCAAGAAACTAGATCCCACATGCCACAACCAAGGCCTGGCACAGTTAAGTAGATATTTTTTAAAAAGGAAAGAAAGAAAGAAAAAGCACACCACAATATTCAAATTCTAACTCTGAAGGAGAATTAAGAATATTAACAACAAAAAAAAGAATATTAACAACCAAAACAATGATACTTGATTGAATCTTGATTTGAACATACTAGGTATAAAAGACAACTGGGGAATTTTTAATAAGGACTACTATTAGCTGTTAACAGAAAGTTATTGTTAACTTGTTAAGTGTGATAATGATATTAAGATTATATAAGACCTATTTTTGGAGATACACACAGAAATAGAAGTGAGATATCATGTCTATATTTGTGCTAAAATACATCAGAAAAAAAAGACGTAGCAATTTTTACAAAATGTTAATAATTGTTAAGATAGTGCTGATAGGTAAATAGGTATTTGTTATATTTTTATCATGATAGTAACCAAAAAAAAGGCTTCAGAAACATACGGTGATAAACTTTTTGTCAATTAAAAAAAGAAAATCAAGCAAATGAATGAAGCACAGAGCTCACAAACACCAACAACAGAAATGGAAAAACCAAATGGTCTTATGTTGTGTGAATGACTTCTTGTTGCTTAGAATAAAACTTATAATAAAGTACCATATACATATTCAAAAAATGTGCTTTCTAAAACACCTTAGAAACTAATAAAGAACCTAATGTATAGCACAGGGACCTCTACTCAAAATCCTGTAATGGACTAAATGGGAAAAGACTAAAAAAGAGTGATTATATGCATATGCATTACTGATTCACTTTCTGTACAGCAGAAACTAACACCACACTGTAACAATTAACATAATATTGTAAATCCACTATAATCTAATAAAAATTAACTTAAAAAATAAAACAGCTAAGAGGAAAGAGAAGAAACTGTGCCAGATAATTCAAAAAAGACCCAGTGATAGTAAAGATACTGAGATTGAAAAAGCATGTAAAGATAGATAAAATCTCATGAAATGAGAGCAGGGGGCAGGGGGGACAATTTTTCTAAAATAACATATTGTTCAGTTTAGTTCAGTTCAGCTGCTCAGTCATCTCTGACTCTTTTGAGACCCCATGAATCGCAGTTAGCCAGGCCTCCCTGTCCATCACCAACTCCCAGAGTTTACTCAAACTCATGTCCATCAAGCCGGTGATGTCATCCAACCATCTCATCCTCTGTCATCCCTTTCTCCTCCTGCCCCCAATCCCTCCCAGCATCAGGGTCTTTTCCAAGGAGTCAACTCTTCCCACAAGGTGGCCAAAGTACTGGAGTTTCAGCTTCAGCATCAGTCCTTCCAATGAACACCCAGGACTGATCTCCTTTAGGATGGATTGGTTGGACCCCTTGCAGTCCAAGGGACTCTCAAGAGTCTTCTCCAACACCATAGTTCAAAAGCATCAATTCTTTGGTGCTCAGCTTTCTTTATAATCCAACTCTCACCTCCATACATGACCACTGGAAAAACCATAGCCTTGACTAGACGGACCTTTGTTGGCAAAGTAATGTCTCTGCTTTTTAATATGCCGTCTAGGTTGGTCATAACTTTCCTTCTAAGGAGTAAGCATCTTTTAATTTCATGGCTGCAATCATCATCTGCAGTGATTTTGGAGCCCAGAAAAATAAAGTCAGCCACTGTTTCCATGGTTTCCCCATCTATTTCCCATGAGGTGATGGGACCAGATGCCATGATCTTAGTTTTCTGAATGTTGAGCTTTAAGCCAACATTTTCACTCTCCTCTTTCACTTTCATCAAGAGGCTTTTTAGCTCCTCTTCACTTTCTGCCATAAGGGTGGTATCATCTGCATATCTGAGGTTATTGACATTTCTCTTATTGTTACATATTATTTAAAACATATGTACGTGACCAAACTAAAACAAGTTTAAAAAATTCTGTCTCTAACTTAGTAGGTGAATGATCTTAGGTATATTAACTTCTCCCCTAATTTATAAATTAAAGATAAATATTAACTATATTTCACTGAGTTGTTATGCAAATTAAATGAGAACATACTAAGGAATTCTAAAAATGCATATATGAAGGGACTTCCCTGGTGGTCCAGTGGCTAAAACTTGAAGCTCCTGATGCAGGGGACATAGGTTCAATCCCTGGACAGGGAACTAGTTCCCACATGCCGTAACTAAGAATTTGCATGCTGCAACTAAAGATCCTGCATGCCACAGCTAAGACCCAGCACCACTAAATAAATATTAAAATTTTTTAAATGCATATATGAAGCACAAGGCAAGGTCCTAACACATAGTAAGCATTAAACAAAAATTAGTTCCCTTCCCTCTCTCTTCCCAACCCCAACCTTAATCCTAGTTCTGGATACTGCAAGTATATAACAAATTAAGTCTGGTTTTCTTCTTTATGATACCTTTTCAGTTACCAAGTTTTCTCCAGGGCAGATACACATAAGCCTTTCATGTCTCCTATGGAACAGGGCATCAAGAGCTTCCTGGTTACCTTCTTTAAAGTTCAGCCTTAATTACCCTCCAAACCAACAAAGCCCCTCTAAAACATAATAGCAAAAAATGTACATGATACTACATATATGATCTAAATAGGAGAGAATTAAATAGGAGGACTATTATTTCCCATAACCTGTAATTTGGATATAAAAAGCTTTGTTTCCAAATCTTTTTTTTTTTTTTTTTTTGGCTGCACCACATGGCTTGTGGTATTTTAGTTCCCTGACCAAGGACTGAACCTGGGCCCTCAGTAATAAGAGCGTGAAGTTCTAACCCCTGGACTGCCAGGAAATTCCTTCTGATTTTCTCTTTTTTTTATTTTTTTTCAAACCCTTGTGTCATGGACTGACTTTCAATAGATCGCAGTGAGAGAGCTGCTCTGCTACCCACAAAACCCCAACTCAGAAACAAGTCGTCTACAAATGGTTTAGCACCAGGTTCCCCATAGACATGCAGTGCATGACAGGCAAGAGGCTCATCTTCTAAGTACACCAAACGAATCTAAAATTTTATATGCTGGAACATGAAGTTTGACACAGGATAAACTCATATTGGATCCTATTCAAATAAGCTGACATGCTGAAGTACTAAGAGCATGTATGAATTTCCAGAATAATCTCTAGTTTAATAAACTATTTCTCTCTTTTTTTTTTTTTTTTGGCCACTCAGCTAGTGGGATCTTCATTCACCACCAGGAACTGAAGTGGGGCCCTTGGCAGTGAGAGCACAGAGTCCTAACCACTGAACTACCAGGGAATTTCCTGATAAATTTTCCTATTTGAATTTAAGAAGACCACTTAGGTCAGTTAGACAACTCACCTCTTCTTTTGAGTTAGAAGGCTATTTAAGAGACTGGGGAAAAAAGCAATCAAGAGAATAGAGGAAGTTAGGCTCCTGGGTTAGGGCAGGCTCTTCTATAGTTTACATTACAAAGTTGACATCAAAGGAAAAATCTGATAAAAGGCAAAACAAAATTAGTAATATGAAGTACTGTCCAAAAAATATTCACCAAAATATTTTTTATTCAATCTTATTTCTCTCTCAAATGTATCATTTCTACTAAAGGGAATACTTTACAGCCATTAAAAGTGACACTTAACTATAAGCACATAAAATATATATATACAAGAATGTATTAACTTACATGCTGTCAGTAACAAACAAACAAAAAAAAACTGGAGCCAATCCAAATATCCATCAATAGGGTACGGTAAATAAACTGTAGTATATCCAAATAATGTATTATATAGTCATTCAAATAATCAGATAAGTTCTATATATACTAACATGGGGAGATATTCAAGTTTCACTATCCAGTGACCATGAAATGAAGTGAAGTCACTCAGTCATGTCCAACTGTTTGTGACCCCGTGGACTGTAGCCTACCAGGTTCCTCCGTCCATGGGATTTTCCAGGCAAGAATACTGGAGTGGGTTGCCATTACCTTCTCCAGAGTTCCTCCTGACCCAGGGATTGAACCCAGGTCTCCCGCATTGTAAGCAGACGCTTTACAGTCTGAGCCACTAGGGAAGTAAAACAAAACGTATAGTGCAATCTTATTTTTATTTTTTAAATATAATAGTAAACATTAATTTATATCCAGAAAACAATTTAGAGGCATTCATATATTAAACTGTCATATTGCTGAAGGAGATGATTATGCAAGAATCATTTCTGGATGGAATACATTTCTGTTTAGTTTTTTTTTTTTTTTCCACAATTATCTTGCATTAGTTTTGCTTTTAAAAATTTAGATTAAAAGGTTAGAACTAAAAATCACCCTTTCATCCCTACCACCACAGAAGTTTAAACGACATGAGATGAAATTTACAATATATGTTAAATGGGAAGAGGGAAGGGCAAAAATACAAAAAAACTGAATAATCGATAATTATATAAAATTATGCACTGGAAAAAAAGGAATTATACCAAAGTGATAGCATTGTTTTGGGTGGAAATGTATGACTTATTCTTTACTCTTACTCTAAACTATCTATAATGCTATATTGATAATAAATATAGCAAAATTCAAATAATTTCACAATCAATGTATAATGAACCTGAGTCTCTGAAAACACTCAATTATGAGTGTACAGGAATACAAATATAAAAGATGTAGTAATTCAGTTAAGTTCATATTAACTACAGCATGCATGCATGCATGCTCAGTTGCTTCAGTCGTGTTGACTCTGCAACCCACCAGGCTTCTCTGTCCATGAGATTATGCAGGCAAGAATACTGGAGTGGGTTGCCATGCCCTCCTCCAGGGGCTCTTCCCAATCCAGGGATCAACCTGCATTTCCTGCATTTCAGGCAGATTCTTCACCCACTGAGCCACCTGGGAAGCCCAACTACAGCACACTACCTAGCATTTCTTCTACTTTCTGATAGGGATTTGCTTCCTTAAAATATTTTCTTTCTGATTTAAATTCAGGAAAAAAATTCCAGTTCAAAAATAAAAATGTATTCTTTAATGTAATTATGGAGCTTTAAGAGGGCTTTTGCAGGGTTTTTATGGTTTGTTTGGGGAGGGTTTTTTTGACCAAGCCATGCAGCTTCCCCCACCAAAGATCAAACAGAGTGCCCTGCAGTGAAAGAGCAGTCCTAACCACTGGATAACTATTGTGAAGGCACTCAGTTGTTTCCGACTCTTTGCGACCCCATGGACTGTAGCCTGCCAGGCTCCTCAGTCCATGGGATTTTCCAGGCAAGAGTACTGGGAGTGGGCTGCCATTTCCTTCTCGAGGGGATCTTCCCAAACGAGGGATCAAACCCAGGTCTCCCGCACTGCAGGCAGAAGCTTTACCATCTGAGACGCCAGGGAAGGCCAACGCTTCACGAATTTGAGTGTCATCCTTGCGCAGGGGGCATGCTAATCTTATCTGTATCATTCCAATTTTTGGAAATAATGCCTATTTTCATGGGTCTTCATTCTGGGTGTGTGTGTGTATACTTTCCAAATAAAGGGTCATATTCCAATCTGAAATTTCATTTGTTTAGATACAATTTTGATAACATTTCTATGATTTCACAGGCATAAAATGATTTCAACATCATTTCAGACTGGCCAGAAGGCAGCATTGAAGAAAGTGGGGAAAACCACTAGACCATTCAGGTATGACCTAAATCAAATCCCTTATATTATACAGTGGAAGTGACAAATAGATATAAGGGATTAAATCTGATAGAGTGCCTGATGAACTATGGACAGAGGTTTATGACATTGTACAGGAGACAGGAATCAAGACCATACCCGAGAAAAAGAAATGCAGAAAAGCAAAATGGCTGTCTGAGGAGGCCTTACAAATAGTTGTGAAAAGAAGAGAAGCCAGAAGCAAAGGAGAAAAGGAAAGATATACCCATTTGAATGAAGAGTTCCAAAGAATAGCAAGGAGAGATAAGAAAGCCTTACTCAGGATCAATGCAAAGAAATAGAGGAAAACAATAGAATGGGAAAGACTAAAGATCTCTTCAAGAAAATTAGAGATACCAAGGGAACATTTCATGCAAAGATGGGCTCAATAAAGGACAGAAATGGTAGGGACCTAACAGAAGCAGAAGATATTAAGAAGAGGTGGCAAGAATACACAGAAGAACTGTACAAAAAAGATCTTCATGACCCAGATAATCACGATGGTGTGATCACTCACCTAGAGCCAGACATCCTGGAATGTGAAGTCAAGTGGGCCTTAGGAAGCATCACTACGAACAAAGCTAGTGGAGGTGATGGAATTCCAGTTGAGCTATTTCAAATCCTGAAAGATGATGCTGTGAAAGTGCTGCACTCAATATGCCAGCAAATTTGGAAAACTCAGCAGTGGCCACAGGACTGGAAAAGGTCAGTTTTCATTCCAATCCCAAAGAAAGGCAATGCCAAAGAATGCTCAAACTACCGCACAATTGCACTCATCTCACACGCTAGTAAAGTAATGCTCAAAATTCTCCAAGCCAGGCTTCAGCAATACGTGAACCGTGAACTTCCAGATGTTCAAGCTGGTTTTAGAAAAGGCAGAGGAACCAGAGATCAAATTGCCAACATCCGCTGGATCATCGAAAAAGCAAGAGAGTTCCAGAAAAACATCTATTTCTGCTTTATTGACTATGCCAAAGCCTTTGACTGTGTGGATCACAATAAACTGTGGAAAATTCTGAAAGAGATGGGAATACCAGACCACCTGACCTGCCTCTTGAGAAACCTGTATGCAGGTCAGGAAGCAACAGTTAGAACTGGACATGGAACAACAGACTGGTTCCAAATAGGAAAAGGAGTACGTCAAGGCTGTATATTGTCACCCTGCTTATTTAACTTATATGCAGAGTACATCATGAGAAATGCTGGGCTGGATGAAGCACAAGCTGGAATCAAGATTGCCGGGAGAAATATCAATAACCTCAGATATGCAGATGACACCACCCTTATGGCAGAAAGTGAAGAAGAACTAAAGAGCCTCTTGATGAAAGTGAAAGAGGAGAGTGAAAATGTTGACTTAAAGCTCAACATTCAGAAAACTAAGATCATGGTATCCAGTCCCACCACTTCATGGCAAATAGATGGGGAAACCACGCAAACAGTGGCTGACTTTATTTTTCTGGGCTCCAAAATCACTGCAGATGGTGATTGCAGCCATGAAATTAAAAGACACTTACTCCTTGGAAGGAAAGTTATGACCAACCTAAACAGCATATTAAAAAGCAGAGACATTACTTTGTCAACAAAGGTCCGTCTAGTCAAGGCTGTGGTTTTTCCAGTGGTCATGTATGGAGGTGAGAGTTGGACTATAAAGAAAGCTGAGCACAGAAGAATTGATGCTTTTGAACTGTGGTGTTGGAGAAGACTCTTGAGAGTCCCTTGGACTGCAAGGAGATCCAACCAGTTCATTCTAAAGGAGATCAGTCCTGGGTGTTCATTGGAAGGAATGATGTTGAAGACGAAACTCCAATCCTTTGGCCACCTGATGTGAAGAGCTGACTCATTTGAAAAGACCCTGATGCTGGGAAAGACTGAAGGCAGGAAGAGAAGGGGATGACAGAGGATGAGATGGTTGGATGGCATCACCGACTCGATGGACATGGGTTTGAGTGGACTCCAGGAGTTGGTGACAGACAGGGAGGTCTGGCAAGCTGCGGTTCACAGGGTCGCAAAGAGTTGGACATGACTGAGCGACTAAACTGAACTGAACTTAGAAGGAAGCAAACTGCAACCTGTAACAGTTCACACAACACATGACAGCTAAAAAAATTCAACATTTATGACGGTTAAAAAAAATTCAGTGACATCGGTTGCATATAAAATTTCTTAAAAAAAAAAAAATTTCTTAGCTTGGCATTCAAAGACTTTGCTCTACTAAAACTGGCCTAATTGTTATACCCCAGACTTAACCCTCCTTTCAAGTGTAGCTTTCCCCTCCTAACTCGGCTTAAATGGTGTTCACCTCATTCCAGCTATTGTGTTCAACATCTTCTTGGTCTTCCTAACTTCACTCTTACACCTCTCCCAATTTACTCTCCAAAATGAGTAAATCTGAGAATTTTTCATGTGTGACACAAAGGCTCTTTCTTATTTGGCCTCTGCCCATATCTCCAGCCTCATCTATCTATATTCCTTTACCCACAGACACAATCTGCTACAAACATAGAGAACTACTTGTATTGCCCTACCCATACTTCAGTGCCTAGAAGGAATATTCCTTCTCTCTGGCGTGTTTTTCTTGACCTCTTCTATGTGGCTCTCTGGGGATCATCTCATATGGGAAGTGTTCTCTGACTCTTCAGTCTCTGCTATGTTTTGATAATGCCTGGCACTAAGCTCATTATAATAGTTATCATATAGTATTTTAATGGCTGCTTATCTACCTCTTTCACTGGACTATGAGCTCCATGAGGACTTAGACTTGAACTTACTCACCTCCAAATGAGTATGGCATACAAATTTTAATATTACTGTATGAATAAA